TCAATCCCTTCAGGAATTAAGTTTATCCGGTATGACAGCCCAACCCTCGTGGAGCGTCGGTCTCACTTTCTCATGCAGAATCAGACGATTGATGTGGACGAGAAGAGGGCACAGCTGGCGTGAAATATCAACAGGAACAGTGGGATCAAATGATGGCTCCAGCTTTTTCGCTCAGCTGCGGTTTTCATGACATGTTTGCTTCGTATAACGAGCAGCGGCAACGCGCACGCAATAGAGCACGTCATCGCGCTGCAGGATTTTTTTTACGTAGGGTTCAAAATGGCAAGACACTTTACCGACGTTCTTCAAAACATGCCTCCAGTTTTATTTGTGTAATCATGTTTTCTTTTTTGTGAGCTGAAAACGCCTTGATGTTCCTTGCAATCCCCGTAGTTCTTACCTCCGCCCACTGACTAATCAGATTAATCAGTTCATCTCTGCGCAGATCAGGTGTGCTGCCTGACCCGGAAGTGAGAGCAACAGAACAGACCCACGCAGAAGCACAATGCAGAGAAAGAACCACTAGAAACAATACTTTCCCAATGTCAAACCCCTACAATCTTTTTCATGAAATAGCTCCAAACTTTATTAACTATCTCACGCAAACTGCATTAAACTGTGTGAAGCGCAGTGTATTTCTACACGTTTATGGTGGATTCATTAGTTTGTATAGTGATGAGACTTGCACAGAACTCTTTGAAGTACTTTGGAATTTATTTATGTCCTTTTCCAGCCCGAGTGAGACACAGAAAACTCTTCTCATTTGAACAACTTCATGCCATTCTATTTGACTTGCGACTGACAGCCATTACGCACTACATTACACCATGATTCCTGAACTACAAGTCCCAAGAGGGGCGCGGTTAAAGCAAGATCAGATTTCAAATGATATTTTTAGACAAATTGTTTATGAATACCATATTCATGGTGTAAAAATCAGATCAGCTTTTATTCCCATCATACTTAGCACCTTGCTATTGAGTTTGTCAAGTTCCACTCTTATTTCATGAGCTACATTACATGCAAAATGCCAAATTCAATTTCTGCTATATTGGTAATATAGCAGATGGCAATTGTGTTACCATGTTTAATATCCCAAATTCAACATTATACGCATCATTCACCAGGTTGGCCTTTCATAGAAATTGTAATAGTTTTTGAGAAACAAAGCATAGAAAATGGCAAAAATATGTTCGGTGCCTGACAAATCCTTGCATTTGTATGCCAAGATACTCTAAGCATTGTAATACTTTAATGTAATACTTTAACTGTTAAAACAAGATATAATTTATGAAATAAAACATTTCTAAAAAAAAAAAAAAGTAAAATGATGCTTGAATGATTTCCCTATGTTTTGAATCAACCAAACCACAAAAATGGGATTGACTGAAAAGCTAGTTTCATTAACAAAAAAAAAAATTAATACCCCAAGTATGATTTAAGAAAGAACCCTTTTTTCCTTTCTCCAATTCTCATCTCCACTTGAGTAGCCATAAAAATAATTGCAATTTCTACAACTGCTCCGATATCTGCTTCACTGTCCAGTGTCTCTGGATTCCCAGTATGTGGTCAAGGCATTTTCACTCTGTCTTTGTTCACAGCTTGTTTTCTATGAGCTTTGGCTTTGTGCTGCATAGCAGAGATGCTCTTTAAAGAATCTTTTTGGCCCACACAAATTTCCTCTGCTCCAGGCCTCCACTGCAACAACTGGCCATCCTCGGCACCAGTCAACAAAGCTTGACCAATCACATCCCACTTGAAACATCTCACTGTAGCTGAATGTCCACCACTCAGGGACTTAATCAAACGTAGGCCAGTCTCAGAGCAATCCAGAAGGTGGAGTTCTCCATCACTATTGCCTCCAACTAAAAGAATTCGTTCCTCATCCGATAGCCATGCACCCCCTACAATGTACTCAAGAGATGTTTCACCGGGAAGCTGAACGAGTGTTCGAGCATCAGGTGAACTAAATAGAGTTAATCTATCATCGCTTTCGGGACTAGCCATGTCCCAGAGGTGAAGCCCCTCATCGTGAGTTAGACACAGCAGCTGGTCGAGAGATTTGCCTGTAAGATAGATCAGACATTAAATAATGACAGGTAACAACAAGTTATTATTTTGATGTGTAATCTAATTTAAAGTTCTATGAATCTGGAAAACACAGTAACCCATTACTAAGATTTACCTTTTATCCAAGCAAAAGTTTTAAACAGACAGTTATGTCAGATGTTGCATAAAAAAAAATTTAAAACAACAGAGCACAAGTGTAAACGACAGTGTAAATGCTTCACATAACAGAGTCAAGTCCAAATTTGTGACTAAGAATGGAAAATAAATGATACTTCCCTTCAAAAGGAAATGAAAGGATTCCCACTCAACATCAGTTTGATTTAAACTGTGTTTAATTTTAAGGTTCGCTTGTAATAAACATATTTATTTAACATATTGTATGTTATCACTACAGGTCCTTCTCAAAAAAATTAGCATATTGTGATAAAGTTCATTATTTTCTCTAATGTACTGATGAATATTAGACTTTCATATATTTCAGATTTATTAACACACAACTGAAGTAGTTTAAGCTTTTTGTTGTTTTAATATTGAGGAGTTTGGCATACAGCTCATGTGATAATGTCAATCCCTGCCATCACCCGTATTCTATTGTTCTGTTTGTATTGTGATGTTAGTGATTTGTTTGTATGAGGAGCTCCTGTGTTAATTTTGTTATGTCTTTTATGTATTTTCATATGTCAATGAGTTTCCTCCCGTGTCAAGTCTAGATTGAGTTATTGGTATCTTGTTTTAGTTATTGGTATCTTGTTTTAATTCATGAGTTAATTGGCTAATCTAGTTTCATTATGATGTGTTTACTTATGATAGGTTTATATTTTAAGGATTGTATTATTTAAAGAAGCCTGGCAGCATCATCGAGACAGAGGAAGGCTCGGCCAAGGCCCGTGTGAGAAGGTCAGGTGGCCCCAGGCCGTTGTGGGAAGCGACATGAGCGTGTTGCTCAAGCTTCTAATCATTTGCATTGGTGACGTTGAGCGGATTTATATTACTATTGAGGACTTTGTTTGTTTGTTTGGGATTCCCTTTTTTCTTGTATGTTTGTTTCTCACGAGTGGCACAATAAAACAAACACCTTTTTTCATCGGAAAACCCGCCTCCTACCTCTTGCCTCGGTCCAGTTCCTTACGCTCGAAACCCGCATTACGACAGCTTATGAAAACGCAAAATACTTCAAAAAGTAGCATATTTCATTCAACCAATGAAAGAAAAGTGCTTTTAATATCAACCTTCCAATAATTATGTTCAGTTATGCACTCAATACTTAATGTAGTGTAGTATGATTGCTGTCTGATATAAAATCATTGATGTCTTGACTGGTTACCTGTCCAGCAGAGGGAGCTTGCAGAGGAATTGCAGTTGCAGGTGGAGACCAAAGCCTCCTCTTCTCCACCTAGACTCAGATCAAACAAGTTCACAAGCCCATCTGAGCCTCCAGAAACCAAACGATCAGACTGCTGAGGATGGAATTTCACCGTTGTGATGTCATCACCGTGCGACTCAGAGAAAACACCTAGCAGACCGCCATTCTTTGAGCCAGTCTCAACTTCCTGTACCATCCGCGCATCCCAAAACACTAAGAAACTATCTTCCTCCACCTGCTCAGTGCCGGCGCACAAGACACGATCACTACAACTCACATCAAATGAGCAATAGGAATGTGTGGAGTCGCTCCGGAAGACCTGAATGGGGTCAGAATCCGGTCGACGTGTATCCCAACACCGCAGCGTCCCATCAGCAGAACCAGAGAACAGCAGGTTAGGGGAAAGATGAGAGAATCGAACCCCACACACGGGAGCCGTGTGACCCTGAAACTCAGCCAGCAGTCGAAGAGTCTCTCTGCTGTACAGATGCACTGAGTGATTGGAGCAGCTTACAGCCAGGAAATTGGAGTCACACACTGGAAGGGAAACATCCAGAATGTACAAAGCCTTACTGGGTTGGAGCCTCCTGGCGATGGAAAGAGAGCTGAAGGAGTCTTTGAGAGCATCCATGATTATCACCGACTGACCTGTAAATAAAAAAAAAAAAACTCCAGTCAATTTTATTCAAATAGTTTTATATCCAGTATAGAGATATTCCACAAACTAATGGAATGCTGAACAGAAAAGATGATTTAACATAACAGTTAATAATTTATATACACATTTTGTATTATCATACAAGGAGCTTGGTGGAGAAGGGATTTGTTGCCATTGCTGTATCTCACCAAGAATGTTCCTGGTTCTAACCTGGAAGGTAGCCTTTCTGGATGGAGTTTGAATGGTGTTCCTTGTATTTAAATGCATCAATCTCCTACAGTCAAACTAGGTGAATTAATTAACCCAGGATTGATTAACTTGAGTTTGAATTTAAAGTGTAAGAGGAGGATTATAAAACATTAAAATGACGAAAAGCAAGAGTTAGCATTATAAAGAAAAAAAACCTACGATATAAATGCGTATACTTGAAATGTATTCCTTAGTTTGATCGACATTAAATATATTAAAGTCAGATATATTGTTAGATATAGGAAATATACATACAGATTATTGACTGACATGACACGAGATATTTTTACACTGTTTGTGGCTTTAGGATTCTGCAAGAAAATGAAACATGGACAACTGTAACGTTACACTCACCGTAGTAGAGGCGATATTAAATACAGTAGACTACGTATACAACCTCAGCTACTAAAACACGTTACATTTTAAACAAAACTGGAAGAAAAAAATAAAACACGTGATGGACCGTACGAACGGTGTCTCTTCAATTAATGTCCTACCGAAACACGTTCCGAAAGTAAATAGTTCCACGGTGGGAATAAATAAAGAAATAATTAATTCAATAACATTTACACATTTATTTCGACGAAAAGGCGTAATTAATATTAGGCAATTAAAAATGATGTAAAAAAAAAACCCCAAATATTTCGATATGAGTGTATCTTTCCTGTGGCTCAGTTAGAAGGGCATTACGTTAACAACGCAAAGGTCGCGGATTCAAATCCTAGGGAAAGCAAGAACTGACATAAATGTGTTAATTCTTTCAAAGGTGGCTTTGGATAAAAGAGTCTGCTAAATGCATAACTGTAACGCATGAAACAAAACCTGTTCTTTTGCATCCATTAGGTGGCAGTGTTTCTTTGTGATGTGAATGACTTAAAAAAAGATTTACATAAAACACTATAAAAAAAAAAACTATTTTCTCAAATTTAGTTACTTTAAATTGGCTATAATTTTATAACAGTTTTACCGTGGTGCAATACAGCCAAAAACATTGTCAATTTAGAAGTAGACCAATGTATTTATATTACACAATGGCGATTAATATAGGTCACTGTTCTCTCAAAAACAACTATAGAAAATCACACATTCACAATTTATACAAGCAAATTATACAAGTCTTGGGTATTTATTGAACAAATAGACAATAACAAGCCGTTTCTTTATTCTTTTGTTTAAAAACAGAACAGGAAGGATAATTTTGCTTTCACAGGAAAGTTTATATAAAGCAAAATGAATTAAACACGTACAACCATCAGAATGATTAAAAAAAATGCTTCTACAAAGTGATTTTATTATAACAAAGGTATAAATTTCTATATAAGATTGAATTGTCTGTAATTAGTGTCACAGTCAATAGATGTGCTTAGTTATGTTTATAAATTCCTTTGAATGCCTCTACATAACTTTATGGATTGATGGTCACTTGTATTTACAAATCATTGAAAAGCAAGTCAAAACAAATGCAGAAACTCAAGACACCAGTCTTCAAGTGGTATCTTAAGTCTCTTTGGTAAACACATAAAAAAGACAAACTAGCAAAACAACCAATCACACATATAGACTAAACAAACAGTGTCGGAAATGTCAACTGACCGATTATACAGTTGTGATTACTGAAAAAAAGTTAAGCATTCATTTAAAAAAAAAAATCTGTTTAAGTGACTCTTTTTAGTGATAAAGTTCTTATTTTACACTAGCAATAACAAGACTGGAAGAAATAGGAGGAACAGATGAGCACCACAGCACTAGGTTTAACATTAGTCAACTTAAGTTCAGGGCATCACAAGATCAAAGAGAGGATGAAAAAGAGTCAGACTTCCACAGGTGTTCACATTTTCAAACAGCACACAGATTGTCATCAAAGGCACATTGTAGTGAAATATGAGCAGCTTTATCAAAATAAGGCATACACAAGTGTGCATGTATACATATATATATACACACATATACATATATATATACATACATATACACACACACACATATATATATATATATATATACATACATACATACATACATATATATATATATATACATATATATACATATATATATATATATATACATATACACACATATACATTTATATACATATATATATATATATATATGTATATAAATGTATATGTGTGTATATGTATGTATATATATATATATATATGTATGTATATAAATGTATATGTGTGTATTTATGTATGTAAAGAGAAATGTCAATGACCTGATGGTTACAAGAACAGTTGAGATTATGAAAGTCTTGGTGTGCCTGTGTGTGAGCACACTTACTTTATCCTAAACAAAAAAAACAAAAAACATTTCATTCCATGCTGCTACTCTTGGCAAACCCAATAGATTGAATGAAGTTTGTAAATGTTTAAAAGTATTTTTATAAGCAAAATGGATTGGTTGCTAAGGTAAATGTTGTGGTTGCTATGGAGAAGCCAGTGACAAAATATATTGTTCCCTTTGTCAATATAGGTTACAAAAGGCAACCCCATGTCTATCATTTACCACAGCTGAGAGAATTCAGAATATATCATTTACCACAGCTGAGAAAAATCAGAATATCCGGATGGTTTGCTAGTGGTATAACAGTTTGGTTGCTAGGGAAGTCAGTATATTCATACATTTTTAAAAATTGTTACCTTTTACAAACCCCCATTTCTCTATAATGCTTCCTCATGAAGATATTTTTGTTGACATCTATTTTAATTATTTATTTTAAATGGCTATTATGTTAATGGTAAATATTTAACCTCTTCTAGATCCTGGGGTTTAACAACTTTAGCTCGGTTGTTGCTATGACCTTACATAGATTGATAATCTCCATATGTGGAGTCACTTTAAAGTTTCTATGAGGTTCTTAGTTTTACAAAGTTTGAACCCATGTTAAGACAATGGAACATTTCCCAGCATTCACAGCGATTTCCCAGAATTATTTGGTGGTACATCCGAAAAGATATAGCACCCCCGGTCAAATCAGTCCGGATATTTTTGCAAAGTTTGGTGTCTGTAACTCTGTGTCTAGTGTAACTGTGTCTGTGTCAAGTAGGATTTTTGTGTCCAAAGCAAAAGACCAACAACAATACACCAAAAACATTTACTTTGATAAGCCAACATAATAATTATGTATACGGTAAACCCTGAATTCCCTCAAAACTTTAAGTGAAAATCAGTAACCCTAAAGCATTTAAGTTGATGAACCCTACTTTTAAGAATGCATTATTGAGAAATTTCCTAAAAGTAGAGTTCATCGAACTCAGATGTTTTTAAATGATTGGTATCTACAAATGTTTTCAGCACTGATAAGGTGATTCAGTTTTCAGCGTATTCTATACAATTAGTTCCTACCACAGACGTATTATTACTTTTGAAGGTTTTTGGCTCGCTCATTGAACTAAACCGGTTCAATCACCCAGAAGTGAAACACCACGTTATGAGTCATACACAGCAGCTGGTCAAAGGATTTGCCTGTCAAATTAAGACAAGCATGCAAACAAATAAAAAACTTTTTCAGGAACCAAAAGCAAAGCACTCTTGAAATATTCTGGGCTGGATACAATCGATGACAGAGATCTGCATTGTTCTAGAGATCAAGGGTCAAGAGTCAACATCTCTCGGTAGAATCCCTGCTTTTCTCTTTAGTCTGCGGAAACCAAAACAATCATGTTTACAGAAATGAGCAAGCGGGAAATCACCTTCTCTTTCACAGACACACAAGGCCACAGGAAGAATAAAAACACTCACGCACACTTGTGTCACGCAAGCCTATTACACTGCAGCAGCAAAAATCAGCAGGAGGCAGAGCATTATGGAAACAGTGCATTTTTAAAAGGTACCTCATGTTCACCTTAACTTTACAAAAATCAAACATTTACCCTCATAAGGCAACAGAGTGAGAAACAAATTCCACCTGAAATTTCCAACATCAATTATTCAACTACTCTTCTTTGCGATCAGTAAAAGACACACACAGTCCATATATAGTGCCTTGCTCTGCAACACCTTACAGGGAATGAAAGTGGTGAGATAACCATTCTAAATAAACAATATACATATACGGTCAAAGGTCTAAAACATTAACAATGAACTGAGCAGGCCCCAGATTGAAGAACAACGGAAACCATTCGGGACGTTTATGGTTAGCCCCCCAAAATCTTTCAAAGATGCACTTTTTGCAAAACCCTCTACAGTATTGTTGTGTCCACATCTGTTTAGGTACAGAAAAGAAACTCAGCAAGTTATTGAATATTAAATGACAAGGCACAGAGCAATTTAAAACTCTTTGGAGAAATAATCTTACTTACAAATCTTCCCACAGGCACAGTCAACTCTTGATACAAGAGTTTAATTTCAGAACAAATAATTTTATAAAAGCATGGATTATAAATCCTAACAAAGTGGTCAAAACGTTTGTTAATTTGCAGAACTGCTGTATTGCTTAAGGAAAATACAACAAGCTTTAATTTGATTAAATTTACTACAAATGCTACAGTGCTCTGAAAACTCAGAAAAATCTCAGAGGAACGAACGGAAGGTGCAGCTCAGCGTTACACCGCTGGCATTAGTTCAAGCAAAATTACGGACTTCTAGTTAAATTACAACAGGCCTGCATGTGCAAAGAGCAAAGGCACAAGGTAAAGTGCATTTAACCCCACAGTTCCGTAGACGATGTAGCGATACGGCAGCTCCACTTCCATATGCTGCCTAGCCTTGCGGACGTCATCGCAGGGAATCCCAAAAAGACGACAGACAAGAGGAATGGTTAACGCTTTCATTACAGCTCTGGTGGCCAAAAGAATGAGGACGCCCAGGAAAAACCGGAGTATACAGAGCCCGATCAGACCGAGGGTGAAAGATGGGGGGTGCAGGGGCAACATAGCTGCTGGTGGATCTGGTAATAAACCCAGACGGCTGTTAACGTGGGATGCCAAAGCGATACCCGCCCCTGAGCCTAGGATTTGCGCGGTATCACCACGAGAGGTGCTCCAGGTGTCCAGGGTGAAGGAGAAGAGGCCGAGGCCTACGTGGAGAGATATTATAAAGAGAGGCGCATAAGGATGAGTGCAGTTAAAAGTGTCGATGATTTCCAGAGCAGGACTGAAGAGAAGCAAGATCAGCAAACTGTACAGGAAGCCAGCGATGACATCCTGAGGAGGAAGCACAGAACAATAAATTAAAACTCAAAAGAAAATAACAGAGAATGTACAGAAATAACTGACAACATATATATATATTGTCAGTTCACCTCTGTCTAAGAATTTATCATTTATATTAAACAGTATATGGGTTATAAGACAATTAAAGGTTCAGTGACATTATTTTTAATAATATGTTGTTCAAATTAATCTAATTATATGTGAAATGTGATTCTTTTACTTAAAAGGTCTCTCTTTTTACTTAAAATTACATTCAATCTCTTAATTTTCTAGCCCAGGCTTATTCTGGAAATGGGCTGAGATTTTCATTCTGAAAACTTTGTAAATACTCCCCAGTTACTCAGCTATTGGTTACTGATTTGCATATTCGTGACGTGTATGCAAAGTTACTGTCTGACGGTCAACGTAGATGTGAGTGAGATTAGTTACAAGCAACTTCAAACAAAAAGGTCATCTTCACCAACTAACTTAATAATAAAAAAAAAAAAACAATGACATTTTTTTAATGCAATCACAATAAAACAATCCTCTACTGAACGTATTTTTCCATTGCACAGCCTCACAACAACAA